AGGGCAGATTCCAATCACAAAAAAGGCAAACATTCAATGCCTGAACATAATGAATAGACACATAATAACAAAAATTAAACTCCATAGCATATAAAAACAAATTATAACTTAACAAATTAAAATAAAATTTAAACAACTTATTACATAAAACAAACATAAAAACAGAAGTTTCAATTTCCCAGAGTCAACAGAGTTCCTTGGGGCAAATGAATTGATATCTGCTCAAGATGTCAACTGAGCTAGTGGGGTAGACAGACCCAAGTACACATTGCAGATGTTACTCAGAAGTATGATATCATCCGAGGTATAATAGCCTTGTGGATTCATTTTGTCATCTTTATCCAAAAAAATTGTTTGGTTTTTCAAAACTTCTCTCCATTTATGTAATGCTATTTTGAAATATTGATGTTTATAAACTATTGTAACTGGTTTCTTATCAAGTACCAAAACAGTATTTAGGAATTCAAACTCCTGTATGTTTTTTTTTACAGAAATGATGATAGAGAGATTCTATTGGAATGTCAGAAAAAAGGACCTTCAGAGAAAACCTTTGCTTCTCTTGCTGCCAGGTTAAACAAAAGTCCAACTCAGGTATGTAATTGGGCAGGGAGTCTTGTTTATAGCACATTTTTGTATGCCAGCTTGGGCAGTTTATACCCCATAAAATCAAAAGAGTTGGAAAGGGCCATCCAGTCCAACCCCAATTCTGTCATACAAAACTACACAGTCAAAGCAGTAACAACAGACGGCCACCCAGCCTCCAGAGAAGGAGACTCCACCACCCTCCAAGACAGCATATTCCACTAGTGAACAGCTCTTACAATCAGAACGTTTAGAAGAGAAGGCTGAGAGGAGGCATGATGGCCATGTATAAATATGTGAGGGGGAGTCATAGGGAGGAGGGAGCAGGCTTGTTTTCTGCTGCCCTGGAAACTAGGACGCGGAACAATGGCTTCAAACTACAGGAAAGGAGATTCCACCTGAACATTAAGAAGAACTTCGTAACTGAGAGTTGTTCAGCAGTGGAACTCTCTGCTCCCGACTGTGGTGGTGGCTCTTTTTTGGAGGTTTTTAAGCAGAGGCTGGATGTCAGGGGTGCTTTGAATGCGATTTTCCTGCTTCTTGGCAGGGGGTTGGACTGAATGGCCCACAAGGTCTCTTCCAACTCTATGATTCTGTGCTGGACAAGGCAATGTTTAGATGGAATCCCTTTTCCTGTAGTCAGAATCTATTGCTCCATGACCTATAGTACATCAATACTATAGAATTAATGCAGTTTGATATCAGTTTAACTGCCATGGCTCAATGCAGTGGAATCCTGGGAGTTGTAGTTTTGATGGATCTTTATCCTCCTCGGCCAAAGAGTGCTGGGTCCTCATCAAACTACAAACCCCCAAGATTTCATAGCATTGAGCCATGCCAGTTAAAGTGGTGATAAACTACATTGCTTTTACAGTGTGGATTCACTCCTAGTCCCTGGAACAGCAGAAAACAAGCTATTTAAACATGGCTAGCATGTCGCCTCTTAATCCACAATAATATAATTCCATATTACTCTGTTGCATTGATTCAGAATGCTTAAGAGAGAAAAGATGCACAAGGAAAGAAAGGGGCATTAAACTACAAACTGGTCTTGGGGTCAGTGGCTTGAAAGTAAAAGGAAAGCAGTTGGACACCTTTTTTTGTATTAATAGTAGTATTCTATATTGTAAACATCAATCCTTTCTACCTTCTCTCTACAGGTTGAAGAGAGATTCAAGCAGTTGGTGAAGCTATTTGAGATGTCAAACTACAGTTAGCTGAACTGATGCTGCAAGTGATGGAATTCTTTGAGAAAATATGCACTGCGTTTGTGTGAGAAAGAGAGTGTGTTGTTGTCCGAGTCAGAATAGCGTGGTAATGCTTTTCCCTTTACCTGCAGCTGAAATGCTCCATTTATACCTACAGACCTCTTCAAAAGTCCTTACTTTCTGAATTACCACCTGGTTCTTGTTGGAAAGTGCCAGAGTTGTAGAAGTCATTGAGCATCTCAACCCATTATGGAACGCAGGGAGAATGGGAAAAGTATATACTTCCTGATCCCTGTCCTTATATTGCCTTAGTAATTTCATTTTGTATGACGCAGTAAACTTATGTGATGCAGAAAAACAAAATAAAATAAAAAGGGCCATTAAAACACCACACTCCCTTTTCCCTCCCTTTTAGAGCATGAAGAGAAATTTTGAGGGTTTGCAATGTTCAAACCTTAATATTCATTGGATGTGTTTAAGATCATGGAAGGTTTGAATTCATACAATTTATTTTGCAGATAATAAATATGTGTTTCCTTGTGCTTGATAGAACATTTTCTATAAGACTGCTCATACCTTTTTCACAGGCTGACTTCCTTGATTCACTGTATTATTTGCCTTCAAGATCATGGATGTCTAACCAAATATGCAAACATTTTCCATATGAAGTAAATGTGCAATATGAATATGTAATCCAAAAGGTGCCTTAATGACAAACTCAGAGTTTATATTTCAGGTTTATTGAGATAAAACTGATTTGTATCCCTGTCCTCAAAAGTCCTAGACATTTAGGGATTTTGTTTTGACAGCCATCTCCGTACAACATGTGCACAGCAGCCAAAGTTTTGGAAAGTATCCCCACCCCATTTTTTAAAAAACAGCATTTTAGTCTGTGGGCTTTATATGTCATCAATCAACTGAAGTTACCAACTAGTCAGGCTTGTTATTTCAAAAAGGGAAACAACCACATATCCACCATTCTGACTTGGATATGTATGTGTGTATGGGTGCATGTATGTACTGTATAAATGTTGCTCTTATGTAAATAATGTACAGAGTTCTCTGTTGTATAAAATATTGTGTTTAGTTTCTTTATCTGAACATTTTTGATTACAGCAAACAGTTTTTATTTTGTATAATTGAATGCTGCATGTTGTCATCGCAGCATCAACTCTTGTAAAATTAATGCACTTAATGTTCATTAAAAAAATGAAGTATTTTATACCACATTCTACTACTATTTTTTTGCAGGAGTAATGATGCATTAGCTGCAAAGCATTCTGTATACATCTGTGGTTTTAATACAGCTAGCACCCCGATTGTATTTTGCTCTACTACTACTTATGTAGTGATGGATGGAGACTTACTAGAAGCCACAATGACTAAATCGGCCCTGCAAGGTGACTGCATATGAAAAAAAATCTGCATATGAAAAAAAGGCTGAAACCTAGGCTGAGGTTTCTATTCAGTTATGAATGTGTAAAGTAGTAACATCACCTGGACTGATTCTCCCCAAACCTTATAGCCAGTAGATGCACCTAGTTATGGACGTCTTCCCCATTTTGGTTCCAGAGGGCTTTTGACCAGTTTTTAGATAATGATAGGGAGAAGACAAGCCTTCCAAAAGTATTACAATTCCCATTGAGTCTTTAACAGCACTTAGTCAGTGATGAGGAAAGTTGCTGTCTTCTGATGTGAGGGCTAAGTTTTGTTTTTTTTTTTTCAAATCTATGCTCTCGTCTTTTAATTGAGAATTAAATTCTATGCATGTGACAGTGCTCTAGTTCCTGAGATGATGATGATGACGACGATGACAGCTTCTTTATAATTATAATTATTATAATTATTATTATTATTAACGGCGCTCCATGCAGTAATGCCAGCCACATGACCTTGGAGGTGTCTACGGACAACGGCAGCTCTTTGGCTTAGAAATTGAGATGAGCACCAACCCCCAGAATTGGACACGACCTGGACTTAATGTCAGGGGAAACCCTTTACCTTTATCTATTATTATTATTATTATACTCACACAAAAACACAGTATGACAGAGTAAACGAAATATATATGCTGGATTTTGTATCACAAAATCACAATTTGAACACTTCCCAAGTGTTTAGGACTGTGTGATATTATTATTATTATTATTATTATTATTATTATTATTATTATTATTCATAGCTCACCTTATCTCCCCAAGGGGACTCAAGGTGGCTTACAATATAAAGCACAGTGGCAAACATTCCATGCCAGTAAAACATATAACTAATCAGAAAAATAGCTTAATTAGACATGACCTTATATGTACATTTAACACATTTAACATATTAAATCCATTCAAAACTCTTAAAATCTAACTAAAATAATTGAGGTTAATATGGTACAGAGCAGATTAACAACAATGTTCAACAATATCGCACAATAAATCAGTTACAGACTTTAAAATACAGTAAAATGGTTAAGATATTACAGTTGTAGTAGAACAACATGAAGAAAAATAGTAATAAGTCTCATTTACTCATATTTGCAGCTTGCTTAATTGGGAAAAATGTCATCAAAGCAATTGGGACTCATCTTGAAGCAAACAGTGATTTACTTATGACTTTGTTACCTTTAGATGTGCACTCTTTCTCTTCTTCATCCCAATTGAATTTTGATCAAATGCAAAACAGACCCTCAAAATATCATCTATACTGTATGCCACTTCAGGAAACAAAAAGGGACTTTGACACTCCAGGCAGATGCATCGTATTGCTTTCTCCTTGACTTTAGTCTTTCGGTGAACATTGAGAAACCCTGTTTCATTATTTGCTAGCCTTTCCCCTTCCCACTGGCCTAAGTGTGCCTTCCACCAGGTAGGTGGATGTCATTCAGGCCAGATTCTAGATTCTAGAAGAGGGTGAAATGAGTACAATGTAGTGTAGTAATTTGAGTGTTGGCCTATATGTTTTGGAGACCTAGATTTCAAATACCCACTTAGCCGTAAAAATCCCAGTGGGTAACCTTGGGCATATCACATTTTCTCATCTTCAGGGAAAGACAATGGCAAACCTCCTCTGAATAAATATTGCCAAGAAAAGCTTAGGAGTTCAAGTCTACTTGAAGGAACACAGCAACAACAAGTGGAAGTAACTTTACAAAAGAGGGTCTTATGCCTTTGTGAATGCTCCATGTGCCATTCTTTGGCTCCAGATACATGCTTGCTATAGCAGTGGTAACAAAGATAACCAAAATTGTGGGGGAAGAGCTTTCTCTTTTAGATGCATTGTAGTTTATTCTGGTGTTTCATCCAGCTCCTCCTCCTCAGTATTAATCTAACCAGTCTATGCCGCTAGGCAATAGACTATGAAATCGGACATGACCGATTGATCGCTGAGCATTGATTTGCATGGAAACTAATGGAATGTAAAGAAAACACAAGAATCCAGAGCTGCGTGAAGGGGCTGTTAGTTCATTTTGTAAAATAAACCCAGTTTACCAATCGGTGAGGAAAAGAGGTTGAATGTGCTTGGATCCAGAATGAAATTAGCAGCAGCATTGCAAGGCAGCGAAGTATATGTGAAGCCTCAAGGCATGCTTTGGTCAGACTAAAATAATTGCATGATAACTCTGGCTAGAGGCGTTGTCCTGTTACGAGCCAGCCGATCAAACTCTCTGCCTGCGTACTTTGGACTCGTTGATTCTAGCAGCCACAGAATGGTAGAATTAGAGTCACCGCGTCAACCTTTTAAAGAATATTTGAATTGCGCTAATGAGGGGGGGAAACTGCTGAAGGATGCTTCATGGCAAATACGATAATTTTCAGGGCCTGATTTGTTTATAATACTCCAAGAGACTTAGGAGCAAGGGAGTTACCATAAAGGTAAGCACCTGAATTTATTTCAGCCCAAAATGTACAGAGGGGATAACAGAGCTTAACAGAACCGTAGCCTTTAAAATGATAACCCTTTCTTCACACTCCAGTGGCGAGTTTGTGGAATCCACTCCCCCAATATGAATTGAAGTATCCATTTTGTGAGATAACGTTCAAGTGGGATTAGACAAATTTACATGAAGAGCTATGACAGTTTAATAGGACATGCATTTAAAGAGGCTGTACACTGCTTAGTAGTTGGTGTTAGGGACAAAGTAGAAATGTTGGTTGTCACCTTCATGCCGTACAAAAAATGTTTGAAAAATAATCCAGGACTTGTATGCATGTTTAGCCAAACCAATCAGACTTATTATCATATTCTGCATGTCTCCTCAAATTTGCCAATTGATAAAGGGTATCTCCACAGCCCCCTTTTTCAGGTCAGGAGCGACTTGAGAAACTGCAAGTTGCTTCTGGTGTGAGATAATTGGCCGTCTGCAAGGACATTGACCAGGGATGCCCAGATGTTTTTGATGTTTTACCATCCTCGTGGAAGGCTTCTCTCATGTCCCCGCATGGGGAACTGGAGTTGACAGGGGGAGCTCATCCATGTTCTCCAGGATTCTAACCTGCGACCTGTTGGTCTTCAGTCCTGCTGGCACAAGGATTTAACCCGTTGTGCCACTGGGGGCTCTTTCCAGAACCTTTATATTATGAGATTCAGTTGAATGTGTTGACTGTTTGTGCTTGTGTGTGTGTGTACACACACAACAACAACAAATGGACTGGAATCCTGTTGGGGACTGACTACTTTGTAAGGAGACTTAAGTCTTTGAGAATTGCAATTGGGCAGTTCCTTAACATCTATATCCAATAAAGTGCTGCTTTTAGATTACTACACAGAAGAGTCAACAAAGTGACCGATGTGCATTGCGACCATGCACAATGGAGCCGATTTGCAAGGGGGATGCTATTTTGTCAGTTCTGTTATACGTTGAGATATCAGCTAGAGATTGCCCATGCACACTGGGGCACTTTTGCCACAAATGCAGCTTTGCAATTCACTAATAGGATCGCTTAGTGCTTCTGCTACGTACAATGTACAATATTGTTCACTGCAATAGAGGATTCTGGCTACTGGTCAATATTAATTGGACCTTGCCCTACTTTTGCCCTTTTACAAATGCAGCAAAAGATTTTCCCCACAAAAATCACTACAGTGGATACAGTTGAACGTCAAGTAACTAACCTTTCATGTACAACGGGAAATTCTCTTAATTATGGTTTGGAGAGGGAGAGCCATGTATCACTCCATTTTTATCTTCTTCTGCAGATTTATAGCAGACAGAACAACCTCAAAATATTGAGAAGTGCCTATGAGTTTATGAAAAATCCCTTACGGAGTGGAACACAATGGATATCCAATTAGCACATCAAAATGGAAACTCGGTTGTGTGGTTATTTGAAGGAGCCATAATCTGCCCAATGTGGCAGATAATTTCTGTTATTTTAATATTGGGATGGATTGCAGGTGTGATGGAAGTTCAGTTTTTTCCAGTCCATGGGATGCTCTTAGATAATATTGTATAGCTATGAAGGTCTTCGGTTGTGCAGCTATTGTCAATAACTCACCCACTGACAGATGGTTCCAACTCAGCATTTTCCATCTGCACTGCAGAATTATAGTCGATTGTCACCACTTTAACTGACTCCATCCTATGGAATTCTAGGATTTGTAGAGACAGAAAAGGGTAAATATCTCACAAAATTGCAAATCTCAGGATTCCACAGCATTGAGACATGACAGCTAATGTGGTGTCAAACAGTGATGATTCTAAAGTGTGGATTGATTTTGCATCAGATAGTAGAAATGAGAGAATGCCTCTGTGCCTTATTTGTTGTTTCTTGCGTTCTTTGATGTCCAGAGCTCAGTGGAAGACCCTGTTTTTTCTCCTGTTCTGAGTTTTTCTGCAACAGAAAGGACATAGGATATCTCACCCAAAGAGAAAGTGAAATAATTTTTCTTTAATCTAGTTTAATAGCTTTGCTACAGTTATGACACAGATACACGAGATGGAAATCGGCCTTGATGCTTGAGGTAATGTTTGCCATTTGTGATCATGGAAAATCTCCTTTATTGACCCTGCTGTTTCAATTGTCAAATGAGAAACAATTTATATCAGGCAGCTATCAAACTCTACTTATCTCTGAGCTGTTGTGTTGTTGAACCATTCAACTGATTCCGTGACTTCAATATATTTTATTTCAGAGATGAACCCATGACTATGGGGGACTGGAACCTGCTGGGCAGTATCCTAGAAGAAGTTCACATCCATTCCACCATCGTGGGCAAAATTTGGCTCACCATCCTTTTCATATTCCGGATGTTGGTTCTCGGTGTTGCTGCTGAAGATGTCTGGGATGATGAGCAAGCAGAGTTCATCTGCAACACCGAGCAGCCCGGTTGCAGCAACATCTGTTACGACAAAGCTTTTCCCATCTCTCTGATCCGTTATTGGGTGCTACAAGTGATATTTGTCTCATCCCCTTCCCTGGTTTACATGGGGCATGCACTTTACAGACTTCGGGCCCTCGAGAAAGAGAGGCAACGGAAGAAAGCCTACCTCAAAGCCCAGCTAGAGGAGATCGAGCCTACAATAGAAGATCATCGGAGGATAGAAAGAGAGCTGAGAAAGTTAGAAGAACAAAAGAAAGTCAACAAGGCACCCTTGAGAGGAGCCTTGCTATGTACCTATATCCTGCATATCTTGACCCGATCAGTCTTAGAAGTAGGCTTTATGGTGGGTCAATATCTTTTATATGGCTTTCAGATGTATCCGCTGTATAAATGTACCCGTCCCCCTTGTCCTAACACAGTGGATTGTTTTGTATCCAGACCAACTGAGAAGACCATCTTCATGGTTTTCATGCACACCATTGCAGCTGTTTCTCTCTTTTTGAATGTTCTGGAGATCTTCCATCTGGGGATTAAGAAGATTAAAAATACTCTTTGTGGGAGGCTAAAGGAGGATCTTGTAGCTCCTGATGAAGATGCTAACTTTTCCAACTCTAAGAAAAACTCAGTAATACAACAGGTTTGCATCATGTCAAACTCATCTCCCCAAAGCAGTTTTAAATTTATGTCAGAGCAACAAGGAGGGCTGCCATCTTACTTGAATCCAGAAGATGGATACAATCCTGCAGGACAGAATCAAAATGTAGAGTCACAGTGGTGTAGCAACCAAAGAAGTAGGTCCAGTCAGCACCAGGACCAAATCCACCAGGCCTACAGACATCTCGATCATCCCAATGAAGGTAACCAGCAACATAATAGACATCTCCCTAGACACCCCCCAAACCTTATGCCTCATCGACATGACCACCAACATCAAAATGGATCTTCCAGCAGTGAGGATATGCAGAAGGCACCACAGCAGGGAGCAAACAACTATCGAAAAAATGAACAACATGTAGTGGAACATTCCAAGGCTTCTCAACATGGCACAAAAGCTCCTGTTGTCTCCAGTCATACGGAGAGCCCACAAGCTGTTCTTCGGAAGCAAAACCGGGTGGCGGCTTGCAAGGACTTGGGAGATGATCGTTGTGATTCTCCAGATAGTGGGCCTTATCAGAACCGTAAGTCAAGTTTTTTGTCCAGGGTACTGTCCCAGAGCCACTTGGACACCGACTCAGAGACTTCAGACTCACGGAATGGCTCTGGTTCAGATGCTAAACGCAGAGGTGACAGCAGTCCTCCCAACACACCGCCTCTTTCTTCCACTACTGGACGCAGAATGTCAATGGCAAGTAGACCCAAGCGGCCTTCCTACTATACCCTGCTAGTGTGAGTTATTGATCCTTAGCATCACCTTAGCCCAAGCCTTGGGCTTTTTATTGGCTAATCTAGTCTATAATTATGTTTAGATAGGGTGGGAAGGTAATTTGTGGTTTCTAAACTGCAATCTGGTGAAACTAGCAAAGACTAAGGAAAATGGCTATTAGTCATTATGAATGCCTTTGCTGCTGGGTAACATGAGCAAGAGTTTTTGGTTGTCACAGCAAGAACTGAATGCTGAGCAAGGTAGACCTGTAGTCTGATGGACCAGAATTGCTATGTTTGTGATCTATTTTTATTATTATTATTATTATTATTATTATTATGTTTCTGCTGAAACAAAACAAAACAAAAATCAGGCACTATTAATTTCTATGGAAAAAATATGCAGAGGGTGATATTAAATATTTATTTATTGGAGTTATACTCAGCTTTTCTCAAAGAATGGAGGCATCTGATAAAACTGTTCTTAGTTGTCAGTTGATAACTTTGGAATTTCATAAAGTCCAAGATTTATTATGTCACGGATCAGGCCATATTTGAAAATGGGTATCGAACTTTACTCTCAGGCATCTTTTTAAAAAAAGACAAACTATTATGACTATGAATTCCATTTAAAGGTCTGTAGTCTTCCATAGATTAAGATACAAGCTAAAGAATATCTATCTCAATCGATCCGCTTCAAAATACAATTTCCCCTATTTTTTCAGAATGGGAACTGGGGTTGAGGGTGCTGTGAACTGTACATTAAACCCATTGTTGACTTCTCAGTGGTTAAGATGATGTGCCATGAGCTGGAAGCACCTCCTTCAAAGCAAAATCACAGATCAACTATAAACTTACTGAGTAGTCTTAGGTAAGCCACGATCTCTTAGCTTCAGCTTTTGTCTTTAATATCACATGCTTTTTGAATGAATTGCTCTAGGTCTTGAAACTTCTTAGCTCTGGTTGCCACAGGCTGGGATTTTGATTGTGTACTATGTAAGCCACTGCACTTTCTCTATGGTTACGAGACAGCAACTACAAAAAAACAGACATTTCTATAATCCTTTAGGGCAGTGGTTTTCCACATGTGGGTCCCCAGATGTTTTGGCCTTCAACTCCCAGAAATCCTAACAGCTGGTAAACTGGGTGGGATTTCTGGGAGTTGTAGGCCAAAACACCTGGGGACCCACAGGCTGAGAACCACTGCTTTAGGGCCTTTTCACAACAATAGAGTTCCAATTCCATTTTAAGTCCAGTGGTTCTCAACCTGTGGTCCATGGACCACCAGTGATCCACAAGAACTAAAATATGGTCCATGGCATCACCATAACTACAGCAAACTACTTGAAACCATGTGGCAACAAGAGCAACCGATCTCGCGAAACCCTCTTATAGTGCCGAGGCAACATGGATGTCGGGAGGGGAGAGGCTGACTACCCACAAAAGATTACTACTACCACATCAGCTCTAGAGTATTATAAATGGTTTTCTGTGGGTGAGCAGTTGGCAACTACTGGATGGCATATGTTCTGTATCAGAAACTAGAGCTGATGTGGTATATCCAATGCAGTTTTCTGAATCAGCACCCCAAATAACCAAACCGAATCTAAAGTTGATCAAAAACTGATTCGTAACCCTTTTGGTACTAATGTTAGAGAGAGGTCCCTGGTCAAAGTGGTCTCTATTCAAGTGGTCAAAAAGATTGGAAATTGCTGCCATAGAATCATGGGTTTTGAAGTTTACACTATAGCTTTAGGATGTTGCTGTGGTACATCAAGTGCAGTCCTATAATTGTGTTGTGTGAATGGGCATTTGAGTACTTCACAACTTTTGCACCTGTGACAGTTTTTCTTCTTCTGGCATTGTCTACATAAACATTCTTATATTGTGCAATCCCTGTTATCTGCAGGGGATATATTATAATACCCCATGGATAGCTGAAACATCTGATATAATTTGATTATACTTGGACTAAAAGCATATCATAGAATTACACTGGAGACCTAGAGAGACCCACAAACACAGTGTAACTGAGGATATAAAGTCTGTGGATAAGGAAGTTGTACTCTTCTTCTTATTCTGGCTTTCTGCACCTGTTCGACTTATCTGGATCCCTGCTAATAAAAGATTTGTGTGTGTGTGTGTGTGTGTGTGTGAGAGAGAGAGAGAGAGAGATTTAGACAACAGAAGGAAATATTATAGATAGATAGATAGATAGATAGATAGATAGATAGATAGATAGATAGATAAATAGCTAGATAGGTTAGATAGATCCAAGGCAGATAGATCCAAGGGGTAGGCAATCTCAGTTTTCTTATCAAGCCAATACATTGTCTATACATGGTCTTCATAGCATTGTAGAAGTTAAACTAGCAACTTTCACAGCAATCTCAAATATGTGTCGTCTGTTGTATAACAAATGCATGGGACCACAATGGCAACAATCTCAAAAGCAAATGGAAAAGAGCTGATGAGCTTAGCACAGTGGTTCTTGACCTGTGGGTCACTAGATGTTTTGGCCTTCAACTCCCAGAAATCCTAACAGCTGGTAAACTGGCTGGGATTTCTGGGAGTTGTAGGCCAAAACACCTGGGGACCCACAGGTTGAGGACCACTGGCTTAGCAATAGTGGCTTAGACCTTAATATCACTACTTCCTTTTGTTTCAGAAAGGATTCCAGAAGTGTGGCTGTGTCTTCTTCAATTTTCTTATGTTTTTGTAATCTAAGAAACTTTTCGGGACTCTGAGGACTGTTCCATACACTTAATATAAACCTAAAATATCAAGGAAGATAATCCACAATACTGCTCTGAACTGGGTTATCTGAGTCCACACTGCCATATCATCCAGTTTAATGTGGATGTTATACAGCTGTTTGGAAGGGCCCTCAGACTTTAGTCCTTTGGGTGTTATGGACTTAAATTCTCAGAAGCCCTTGCTGACTTGGCCATCAAATCACGATTTCTGGATGCTGAAGTCTAAAACATCTGGTGGACCAAAGTTTGGGAACTGTTGTATTAGGCTATTCGTTATAGGCAATCAGAGATATACATATATCCATGTACAATCCCCTCAGGGAGAAACACAGATATATCAATGTCTTGGCACATTGCATGCAGCCTGGCCTTTGTTTTGGTTGAACCAGACTGGTTAGTTGGTAGGAACACAACTGTTTCTAGGCTCTTAAAAAACCACACAGAAAACACATAGAGCTTTCTGCATTATATTCTCAGAACATCTACTGGTTTAACCCCTGATCATTTAAGGTGGCTTTGCTAACTTAATGCACTAATTTTGGAAAGCTGAATGGACTATACATATTCTGAATGTTGACTATGGGGAAAAGATGAACCCAGTGGTGGTTTCTGATTACAACAGATGGGTCCGACTTTGCTATAGAATATATTAAGATTGTATTAAAAAACAATCCTTGGAGGCCAAAATCATATATGTATTTTATGGATGGCAGTGCTTCTCCATATAAGTGTTTTTGTTATAAATTGACTATATGGTTGGCCTCCACATTTCCAGATTTGACTGCTGATGTGTTTATTCACAGATTTGATTACAATGTTATCTCAAATAAATAAATAAATAAATAAATAAATAAATAAATACTTTATTTATATATCCCCTGATCTCCCCTAGGGGACATAAGCAAAATAATACAAGAGACATACAATGTGAAACATAAACCATAGGAATAAACTATAAACACAACATATACATTAAAACCAATTTGAAAACCAGTTCTGCTCTCTTCTTTGGTGTAAGATAAGCTAATAATGATCTCTAGGTTATCCAGTGTGATACTATAGTCAGCTTCCAACAGAAGGCGATCAGAGAGTCATGGTGGGGGACGGAGAAATTCCTAGAAAAGTGTAATACTAATTTGTTCATTCACAGCTTTTCACTTTCACAGAGGTCCTGGGCACCTAATCCTAATGTGGAGGACCAACTGTAGTTTGTAATTGTTATGTACACAATGGTCAGAACCCTGTTGTTTGTGTTTTTGTGAAGATATATCTTTATGTGGATGTTGTGGAAAGCGATGTTCTGTGCCTCCTAATGCAGCCTGTAAGCTCCAAACCACACTGTCCTGGACACTTTATGACCTGGAAGTGCCTGGAGCAGAGCTGATTTCACTAGTAAGTATTTGGTAGGATACAGGAATGTACCCAAGGAACATAATGCTCTGCAATGACTGTGTAGTTTTCTGGCCAATCTAACCAATATACTTCATTGTGTAGTATCATTATCATCACCATCATCATTTCTATCCTGTCCATCTCCCCGAAAGTACTTGGGGAGGCTCACAACATGAGTAAAACACAATAAACAATATATACAAAGCAAATTACAAATTAATAAGGAATGCCAATAAAACAAAATAACTAAACAATAAAAACATTGGGTTGTTGTAGATTTTTCAGCCTGTATGGCCATGTTCTAGAAGCATTATCTCTTGCATCTATGGCAGGCATCCTCAGAGGTTGTGAGGTCTGTTGGAAACAGATCTCACAACCTCTGAGGATGCCTGCCATAGATGCAGGCAAAACATCAGGAGAGAATGCTTCTAGAACATGGCCATACAGTCCCAAAACTTACAACAATGCAGTGATTCCAGCCATGAAAGCCTTCGACAATACCATAAAACCATTAATTAAACACATTTAAAACATAATGGTTCAACAGATTAAATAAGTCAATTACATGCCAAGATGCTCGAGTGTATCCATAAAAACAAGGTCTTCGTCCACATTAAGGGTTACTAATCATTTTCAAAGGCCTGCTTAAATAGCCAAGCCTTTAAGTCCTTCTTAAAAGTCATGAGGGTGGTTATAGGGCAGAAAAATAGGGGGTGTATACACAGAACAACCCCTGTATCTGGGGAACCCATGTACGCTCTTTTACTATTTGACTGTTTCACTAATTCACTCCGGGCCTGCCTCCTGTACAAGCTACACCATCTTCTCAGTGCCTCCATCATTCATCTCATTTAAAATCATAGGACTCACCATTATTAATAGTTTCATGTATTTA